AAACCGAAATCTATAAGCTTTAGGTGGTAGTCTTTGTTACTAGAACTCATGTCTCGAACTACTTACATTTGAATAAAAAATATATTGCCTGTGGTAGAGGCGTGAAATGTGGTTCGGGAAGTTAGAGCTGCAGCGTCTGTTCGTAATTTGCATTCAGTTAACAACTAAACAACGGTACAAACAAATCATAAAGGAAAAGTGTTAAATAAACATGCACAAATAAACAAGGTGAAACCACTTTGGTACCTTATTGAAAACCTGTTAGTGCATCTCGGAAACACCACAGACCTATTGCCTCGATCCTCAACCTCAATCGTTTTGTTTATGCTCCTTACTTTTATGTTCTTCCTGTGCGTATGTGTGTGCATGTGGGTGTACGTAAGTGTATATGTGTTGTGTAAGTGATCAAAAATCAAACAAAATTCTCGTTTAAACGTTCGGCTGCTGTGTAAATATTTCAACGTAATTCAATCAAAATACAATTAACACATTTGCATGAGTGTGCGGTGTGTGTATATTTCGAATGCACAACGTATCTCTCTCGCAAGATAAACTATCACAGCTAAGTCAATAAAACAGACAGCATGAGATGGCACAAATGTAACAGCAGACAGACAAAATACACACCTTGATTTTATGACTGGTTGTTGTAGTCGTTACAGATTCGTTTGCTTATGAGATACAAATGTATCTCAATAAACGTATCTTTAGCATCGACAATAAAAGGAGCTAAACACAACTCACGTGAGACAGCGCACAAAGCGATGCCGAAAAAGTTGTTGACATCAACCACAACCAACTTCATCCTTGTGGTTGTTGCTGTGACACGAAAAAAAAAACGCATGCGGTGACAAACAAAATAAAAAGCATAAATAATTAATATCCCTGTGTGTGTATACTGTGAGCTACATAGCATTGCCATCGTTTTTTGTGCTTTTGACACTGGTTACACAGTGCGTATACGCAGCGAAGAGCGCGTCGCTTATCAAGCAGCAGACAGGCAGGCATGTAGTAGATGAGCAAACAGATTGACAAGGCCACAGTTTAGCTATTGAGTGCGCTGAGCAGAGCGATTAAATTAATTTTCAACGATCTGGTAACACCGATCCCAGACAACAAAAATTAGAATTTCACTTTGAATATCTACCATATCCTGTTTTCATTTGACGTTATTATGTAGTTTGCCCAAACACACACACATACATACACACTTTTGGAGAAAGAAACAGATAATGGTCAGTAATAACACAATACAAAACAAAAATGCCGATAAAACATACGGTAAAAGCCAACACAGTAAACCACTAAAATCATGAAAGCAAACAAAAAAATGCAAGCAGCAACAGCAGCAGAGCGAAACACGAAAATAACCGCAACAACAATAACAACAACAGCAATGGCAACGGCAACGGCAACAACAAGCGATGTAAATACAACTTTTGCTCTCACCGCTCTCATTCCAGTGGCGTTTGGCTCCTTCTTGCCCAGTGGAATGCAAATGCGAAAGCCGTGCAAACAATGAAACAACAACAAAATGGCGTTTAATTTCGCTCTGTGGGGCTATTGTTGTTGTTTTCGTTTTGATTTTATTTTTATTGCTGGCTGTGGTTGTTATTCTGTGCAGTCAATGACTAAACGTTTAGCGGCGACATTTTTCCAGACACGCACGTGTATGCGAGTGTGTGTGTTTAAGTGTGTGTATGTGTGAATATATGCTGCATTTGATGCACTCGAATTGAGCTGCCAACGACCAAATGCAGAGTGCCCAATTGTTGGAATCAGTACAAAGCCGCAATTCCGGCATCAGTTTTAGTTCCATTCATTCAGCTAAAACATTTGCCGCCCAAACAGTTTTACTGCGCGCTGCATTCGCAATTTTTGCCGCTAATAAGCGCAGGGCTATAAACGTATTAAAGAGGCGTGACTTTGCAGTACAGCCACAATTGCATGTTCATTGTTATTTTCAGCTATCTACATTTACTCGATTTTCACAATTTTCAAATGAAAATGGCCCTTTTTCTCGTTTATCAACAGGTCGTCAGGTATCTATTGAATTCATTAGTCATAATCATATCGAACGGAAAGCTCAACTCATGGAATGCAAGAAACTAATAAAGTTCATATTATTAATTTCAGAACTAAGTCTTCATATCTATAACTTAATTAAGACTCTTCTTATAACTGGCTTCGCCACTTGACGCCAACACCAACAACAACGTCAAGATAATCATATTTTTTTGTATATGCCTTGCGCATGGCAATTAATGCAAAACTTGCATTAAATCACATCACAAACGACGCCCAATAAAAAGATTCGTGCCGATTTGCTTTAATGAATTTGAACTGAAATTGCTGTGAAATTAAGATTTCCTACTTGAGCACAATTAAAATGAACTTCTAAAGAGGCAATAGTGTAAAAAAAGCGAGCTAAGCTAAGCTGACCCAAAGATGAAGGACTCTAGCCCCGCATACTCTGACAGTGGCAGCGGCAGCTGCTGCTCCAGCTGAGTGGCAACGTCAGCGCCAGACGTCAGTCAATTTGCTGGACTAATTGGCATACATACATCAGGGACCGAGTGACTGTGTGCACTTAAAACTCAATAAAAACTGTTATGCGTGCTTTCTGGCTGGCCATCATTTATTTATGTGGCATGCAACACATTTGCTTGTCAAGAGTGCTCTCAGCTCGAAGATATTTAATCTTATTAAAAATAAACACAAGGAGAAAATTATCGAAAGTTGATCGATATTAGTATATACATAAACATTTTTCTCCTCTTATGTAAGGTGAATTCTCTTTTATAATGAACAAAATTTGGATTTGTGAACATAATAAATATTATTAATATATATATATAATATTATATATAAATATATAATTAAATGCAAGTCATTTTTGTATCAAAACGTGCTTAATTTCCATACGCTTGTGATACTTCTCCACAAAAACAGTTGAAATTAAACCAATTGTAAACCATATCCGCATGATATTAAAAGAAAAAGAAACATATTTCCAACTTGTCCTCACTTCACATCAAAGGGAAAACTTTTCTTTTCAGCGCTTGTTGCAATTAATGAATTTTTCGTTCGGCTTTGTGAATTCCTATCTGCAGTAACATTAATTAAGTCCTCTGTGGACATGGCCCGAGGCAGACTCATACCAACTTATTGCCACCTTTCAATAGCGAATGTCTCCTGTTTGTCTGCCTGACCGACTGCCTGCTTGACTGTCTGACTGCTCTGGATACTCTGTGCTATTTATGCGCTGAATTGAATTGGAGTTGCGACGAGCGATGCACAATAAGCAACTACATATCTGGAATAAATATGCATATATGAGCTGCACCACACAACAAATAAATAAAGCAACAACAACAACATCAACAACTTCAACAATATTGGCACCGAGTTTACATTGAGATTCATATTGTGCCTGTTGGCATTTCTCTTGCAACTTTATGAGAGCAGAGATTCTCGACTTTCAGTTCACAATTTGTGTACAGATTTACACAATCTGATATATATATTTAAAAATATATATCCATATGTTATTTGAGTGTATGCAGTGTAAACATACTTTGATCTTTGACAAAGTTTTTTCCTGGGCAGCAAACGTTCAATGCGTATTAATTACATATTCGCACGTATGTATGTATGTATGTATGTATGGCTGTCTGTATGCAGCAAATAAAGTATATTTATATACACATATTTATAGACAAAACACTAAACTTATGTAAAGTATGTACCCAAAAGCTGGATTGATATAGATATTTGATAAATAAAGACTCTCGACATATGTGAGAAAGTTAGACTTCAGCAATGTTTTGCAAATTCAAATTTGATTTTCGATTTTAAGAGTTGGGAATTAAAAATAATAATAATAATATTAACACAGCAGCAACCAGGATATTGTCAACAAACATGTACTTTTCAAAGGACCTCTGAGCTCTACATAAGCATAACAATAACGACAACAAATTTGAATGGATGAAATGAGTACGTTGTGTTGTTGGTTCACATTCTTTGCAAGTTTTTAATTAATTTCGTTGCATTATGCAAAAAAAAAAAATACTCCGACAGCGCCAATGACAACGGCAGATACACATTGACGCCGAAGTCTTTGCCGCATTCCCTTTGAACGTTCAACAAGCGAATGAGCAGCGCGCATCAGCGAATTTAATCTAGTTTATTACGAAATTTTCATTAATATTTGCTCATCAAAAAGCATAATGAAATGCGTGAAAAAGCTGTGAATGAGCAGCGACAAATTCATTTGAAATAATCACAATTTTTTATAATTGAAATATTTTGTGCTCTAAAGGTTCGCCAAGATTCCAGCTGTCTAAGTTTCCGAAATGTTCTGTGCTTCCTTAGCTCTGAATATCTTAACTAACTCAGCTATTGCGACGCGTTCCAACTGTCAAATATTAAAAGTCTCGGAGTGCAATTTGTGCCAGTTATACAAAGAAAAAAAAAAACAACACAAAACGTCTGTCTCGTCCGACCTGCCACGCCCTTTTTTACTTTAGATGAGATGGCAAAATTACAGCTGCGACTCACGTACTCAGCATTCGAATGCAATTAACGTTTTGAGTTTGTTTTAATGTTATTTATTTATGTTATTTATATGCGGGCCTGCTTTATGGTGTGTCATTACATATATATATATATATATATATATATATATATATATATATATATGTGTGTGTGTGTGTGTGTGTATATATGCCAACATACGCACACACAGATAACACACGCAGATACAAATCGGCTGAAGAACCGTTTAAAAGCGTAACATGGCGCACCTGCAGTGCAATAAACACTTGACTCAAACATTAACAACAACAACAACAACAACGAGTCTGGTGCCATCTTTGTTTGTCTCGTTGCTTGTGTGTGTGTATTTAATGGCGTCATCAATGGAGGCGGCTACCAGAAAAACAGCGTAGCCAACCTTTTGTACGTCTGTTTTGATTATGTTGATTGCAACAAATTTCGTTGCTGTTGTTGTTGCTGTTATTGTTGCTTTTGTTGCTGTTGTTGTTGTACTTGGCTAACACTGAAACGCGTGCTCGCCTCGCTGGGCTCACGTACATGTCGGGCATTTCGTTGTTGTCAGTCAAACGTTTATTTGCACTTGACATTAGCAAAGTCATAATAAAAATTTCCCGCAAGAGGCACGCACAAACAGCAACAACAACAACAGCTCGACTAACTGCCAGTTACCACTGTACATTGATGCAAATGTGATACAAAAGTGACTAGAAATTCTAAAAACTGATTAAGAAAATTAAGCGTAGAAGTCTCAGTCGAAGTTCTCTTTAATTTACTAATATTTTCCTATATTTAAAATAAGTTAAAGAGAAATTATTAATTGAAGTATTTCCAGTTTAGTCACATTGCATTGAAAGTAGATTAAAATAATTATAATAAAGCTCAACAATAGCATCCCTAAAAGCAACAATACAAATAAATATTGAAATGAATTTTTATTTTTTTATTTAATATATATTTATATATTTTTATAGTTATTTAGTTTTCAGTGCTATGGGAAGCAGTGTGCAGTGTCACAACTTAAACAAATTGCTGCCCCAGTCTTAAAAAGTACTTCAAACGGAGGGGCCACAAAACGGTAAAATTGTCATTTACAAAGCAACGTGTAGAGGTAGCAAACCAACCGAGCAACTAACCAACCGACCAACCGAACGAGCAACCGACGCGGCGGCTCCCCTTCCCTGGCGCACGTGAGAGTCAACGAACTGGAACTCGGATTTGCCGGCTCTGACTCTCAACGGTTGGCGTCTGGCTTCTGCCCTTCGCCCCCTTTTACGTGCTCATGATAGCAACAAAAAGGGTTCCGCTTTTGCTGCCAAATTACATGCACAACAGGTTCAGTTCAAACGGTAATGCTCAACAGCAGCAGCAGCAGCAGCAGAAGAAACAGCAGCACATCATCCGACCGACCACCGACCGACCGTTCACATTTTAGGCCACACACTGAAGCTAATTTGTTATTGTCGCACAATTTACAATGGCCAATGGGCAACGGGCAATGGGCAATGGGCAAATGGGCAACGACAACAGCCATAAAGGCGCTGCAACATAATCAACTTCAATGGCAACAAAACTCGTAAAGTGTCGTCTATATAGCCAATTGATTTCCTTTTCGACTGTTCAGGGGGGCACGAGAGCCGGCGGCATATGACTGTGTTTTGGAACGGAATTTTATGGCCATACACCCTGCATACAATCTGTTTAAATAGACAATTGAGAGCCAATCCGATAAGATCTGGCACTGAGCAGGCATTAAGGATCTAAGAATGAAATTTGATAGCCAAAAATCTATGGGTGCCTCAATAGATTTAGATTCGCTTGTTTATTTGTGCCAAGTCTACAAGTCCAACTAAGCTGGTAATTAAAAGCCAATCTATATAAAAGTGAACCCAAATATTATTTCAACGGCTTTAAATCAGAAGAAAGTAGTCTTATATGTTGTTTACAGGTACCTTCAACAGTCTCAGCCTATATCCACGACTCGAACTGCAAGTGTTTAAACATTTATAGCAAATGGCGTTCAATTCATTGACGATTTACTTTGAAACATGCACTTTGTGTGTGGCCATGGCTTTCTACGTGCGTTTTGTGTCAAGTACGTGCTCTGGCAGCCCCTGTTCGTTTAACCCTCTAATAGACTACGGCCAGTGGTACATGGCTAAGTGGGTGGTGGCAGACAAGCAATCTACAGCGCCATGTTGTTGTTTTCCATACAATATTTTTTATTCGATTTGTGTCTCTAATAATAGCAGCAGCAGCAGCAAATGTTTACTGCGAGCTGAGCTGACCTGCCATTTTCAAGGGGTCACCCTTTCAGCGATCATTCCACCCATGCGCTCAATTCATTTATTCAAATTCACTGCACACATCAAAGCCAGACAATAACACAATGAGGGTATGTTGTTGGCTTTGGCGGGTTCACAACTTGGCTGGCTTGGTTGGGTCATCTGAACACGTCAGCCATGTAATTAGATTGTCACACTGTCAAGTGCTTCATTTGTTCGACCGTTGTCATTATGTTCGACCAACTGAATTGTCCGATTCGTCTCTTCTCCAGCGTTTCGGCACACGCCCACACACAAAAGAGAACTATTTTTTACCTGTTTATCTATTAGATATACACACATTATATTTTTGTATATATTGCACTTATCAAATTGGCATCAAAGGGGTAGGAAAAAGGGCTTAACCGGGGTGCAGCAAAACTGAATATATTACCCTTGCAAACTTGATAAACATTTACCAAAAAGTAATCGACTTTCATTATTTGCTTTCCCATCAAAGTGTTCTCTTTTTGGTAATTTAAAACTGCGTGGGAAAACAAATATTGGCTACGCTCCATAAATACTAAAGATAATGAAAATGCAGTCAGTGTCAATGCCAATGCCAATGCACTTGACAATTATAATTAAGCAAATATAAAGCACAAATGTGTTCATTATTGTACTGCTGACAAATGCCTAACTAAGACAAAGGCACGCCTACTTAAACATACTAAAGCTTCTCTATTAATTTGCGTCAAATTTGGATTATGTGCAGCAGATACAACAAGCAAATGTCTTAAATATGCCCCAGGTCCTACTCAGTTATTCAATGCAGCAACAAAATGTAATGATAAGTCTTATTGTTGCTTGAAAGTTCATTCCAAGCACTGTTTAAAAGATACAGAACATTTTAAAAATATGTTACAATATGTTTCATATTTTCATACCTTAGGCAATAATCAGACATGGACGATGCTAACTGTGTAAAGCTCTGTCAAGTGCATTCCCCTTCAGTTATTGACAAGTTATATAAAATAAATATAGAAGCACAAGCATTTGCTGCTTCTTCAAGTTGTCAATTTACCAACCTTGGCCGAAAAACACAATTTGTTTTGTCGGTTTAAATACGCGTTAGATATACGCCTAACTAAATAGTGGGAGTAGTAGGAAAAGCCGTAGCTAGGCTAGCTGCAACAGTCACAAACAATAAATACGAAATGCCGATTGAAATGAAAAACCAAGAAAATAAATAAAAGAAAATTTACTCAAAATGGATTCACAAAAAACCTTGTGAATTTGGCTAATGGATAAGTTAACCTTTTGTTAAATATGTAAAAGCATATGAAAGATATTTTGAAATGATATTCACAACAATTTACAAAAGTCGAAGCTAAACGTCTTAACAAGCAAATCTTTAATAACTCTTTAAGCAATACTCAAGCAATTTATTTCCATTTTTAAAAATTCTATTTAAACAATGGCTGCATACATAAATTGGACAGAAAAATGTAAAAATAAATTCATATTTGAAATGATTTAAAATTCTTTGCGTAGCACAGATGCCAACACAGCCAGAGCAACAAATGGACAGCATCCAATTAAAAATAACCAAGCATTATCTATGGCATACACATACAAATTCAAGTTCTGCCTCTGTGCTGGCTGTCAACGCATCATTCACAATATTTTCTACACACTAGACGTTAGCTATGTGGAGGAAGGTCAACGCTTTCTCTATATTATATATATCTCGATAAATCGTGTTCATATAAGCAATTGTCACCCAATTTGCCTCAGCTCAATCCTTAAATCCCAAGCGTGCAAAAAAGAAAAATGTAAATATTATTGATAACAATAAACAATTTGCAATGTTTTCTTTTTATTAGCATTCACATACGTATTTATTTATTTCATGAAAATATTACAAATTCAGACAATCAACACGCGATCATTTGTAAATTCCAAATGATAAACAAAATAATATTTGTTTTTATCTTTTATTTCCAAGCAACTTTTTGTGGCATTTGAAATACTCTATAAGAAGTATATTAAATTTTATTGTACACGATTATATTTGATATTTAGATCATTATAAAAATTGAGCAGCTCTTCTGAAGTGGTAATGATAATGAAAAAACTTCGATGTATAAAAGATTTATAAAATAATTTGACACTATAAATGTTACGTTTTATTATTTTGCTAAATAATTAATTATTTAACAATCCAAATATAAAAATAACAAAAACAATTAATTACCAAGTATTAGAAGCATATATATTCCTAATTGTGAAAGCCGTTGTTGTTGTTGTTGGCGGTTTTGTTTATTTCTTTTAACTTGTTATTCTTCGGGCTATGTTCGCGCTTTTTGTAGTTAAAAAAATCGCCAATAAAAACTCAATTTTAATGCGATTATCTTTGCTGACGAGGTATCATTTCAATAAACGACCGAAAGAGTCCAATCAATTATTTGAAGAAGAATATTTATTTTCCCGCCACTAACGAGTTCTGTTGACCCAGAGAAATAAAGACAGGTCCATAAAAAAAATAAACTAAGGCATAAGCAAAAAATAAAATGTTAATAAATACAAAACTGAAAAAAAAATGTTAACGCTTCAAACCCACACAAACAAATATAAACAAAAACAATTTTGTAGCCAGATTTCAGAAACTTGGTGTCGATACTTAAAAACAGCCAATGAGGCCTTCTTCAATGGGTCATACCCGAAACATGCTCGAAAATTGGGTGGGCGAGAACTGTTCCAAAGCAAGAAAACGCTGACAGTCACGAATAACATTTCGCGCATTTGGCCTAATAAAAGGCAAATTGGCAGCCAGGCAACGCCAACGGCAAGCGCAGAGAGAAAAAACAACAACAAAATAAAAGCGAACACCACCAACAAAATCAGCAAAATAAAATTTATTATTTATCATATTTAGTTTTTCGCACAAGAGCTAAAAATACAAGATTCGACGAGCTGCATCACCAGAGAAGCTGAACACACAAAATCGAGAGAGAGAATGGCGAAAGGCCAACAAATTTGTTTATTGCGATATCCGTTTGGACTGCAATGTAATCTTACTCTATGTACCTTCAAAATTTGGGTCACTTTTAGGCTCTAGGTGGAGTTTATGTTTACACGTGCTCCATCTTAATTGAGCGACTCTGCCCCACCCGCTAACGAGGCGTTAATGCCCTTTCGGTAGTTGGTGCCATTGAATTGTTTTGTGGGACGA